TGCCTGTTCTGTTGTACCAGTCTTTTACCTATTAGGGCTCGGGTATTCTACAGTGGCGTCGGATCAGGGCGCAGACATATGAACCAGGTATTCTACAGCAGCAGCAGAGTGCCAGATGGCAGCCATATTAGTGCTAATAGCGGTAAATAGGGATCGACGCAACCATCGTGGTAGACTCGGATGGACGGCGCCTAACGTAAGGTTCTGGCTAATGATTAGTCGACAGATTGTTGGCTGTTGTACCGATATTCATATTTGGGCTCAGTTATTCTACACAGAACTAGATGGCAATTCACTAGCTGATAAAGTTGATTGACTCATTCCACCTGGTTGATCGTTTGCTCCTTACTAGTTTAAAACAACCATTCAATTATGCATGGAGATAGTTTAATTTGTCGAATAAAATTAATGGAAATCACCCCTGTGATTCTACCTAATTCAAGTCTCTAAAGTTTTTCAGATATATACCATAATTTAAAAGCACCAAAACATATAATTTTAATTAAAATCAACCAGTGTAATTCATGCAAATGGTTAACGCTAGAAAAAATTATTTGCAAGCTTATCGGTAGTCTGATTGAGTTATTTACTGCAATTTCTTTTTCTTTGGTAATTCACCGGACTCCAGAAATTGATGATAAGAAATAATTCTTCGGTGGTAAAAGGGTCAAAGTGATGTTCTAGAGGTGTTTGTTAAACAAATAATACATCGTATGATGAATAGCTTCCGTCTGTGTCCCCGATCGCTTTTAACTATTCTATTGATGACATTTTGTTTTGTCTTATTATTACTATAGTTAATCCAGGTAATAATACTTAGACATGGCTGTTCAAAAATTTTGACATTTTTAAAGAAGCGGAGTCTGTTAACCATAAAAAAGCATGAGAAACTAGTCGGTACGAAAATTATATTCCGATCAAGCCGTAACATTTTAACATGAATATCGTGACTCGCAGAGAAACAAACTGAGAATTTCATTTATACATAGGACCCCAAATTAAGCAAAATATAATGAATATTTATAAATTACGCTTAAATGCACCATAACTGTCTCTTAGCTAGCACGATCTTAAATCATGCACACTTTAATTAAGTTATAAATATTAAAAAAATACTTTTAGGGCTTTTCCGCAGTTGGTAGCTTTTTTTAGTTTTGACAATTAATTTAGCAATATGAACGGAATTTCGCTATCACATTTCCGTCATCTTACTTCCACAGCTTATATAATTGGCTATTTCAAAACAACTTATCCAGAATCTAATAAATTAAAAAATAACGACCTTTTTTATCACATATCTGCCTACTACTCACATGTTGTCTGAGAATAATTATTAGTACACCGTTTAAGCCTTCTCCTTTTCCACTATTTTTAAGTACTCTAGTATTTACCGCGCCACATTAATTCGTATTGGGCTATCGGTATCTGGGCTCTGCTGTTTAAGGATGGCAACGGAGGAGCCTTGTGACCAAGTACATGCGAATGAATGTGAGCACGAGGAAAACAATCAGAAGAATGTTCTTGGTCTAACAAAGAAACAACGAAAGCGGGAGCTGAAGTCCATAGGTTTTTTTCAATACATTTTATCGAGCAGTTTTTTTTAGGATATGAATTGCGTGATGTTCCCGAAGGCGCGACCGATGAGGATAAACTTATCGCTTTGCATAGAAAATTTCAGCTCCTAACTGCCGAAAACAGTGATATTACCTCCAAACTTAAGCAGGCGGACAAACGCATAATGTTGGTACGACCGTTCGAAAATATTTTTCAGCTGATATCCGAATTTCATATTTGCAACTTTTATGCCAAAATTCAAAACTTTTAAAGGCGTTTGTTGGAATTTTGTAGCTTTTTTAACCCAGTATTGTTTAATGGTGTCCACATTCAGCAAGGTTATGAGGTCCTAGGTGTAAAAATATTTTTCCATTAATTTTGGCTCTTGGGACGCCTTCACTTTCTTGAAACCGCACTCATTTGTAGCTCCATGTATCTTGCTTCTCTAATGGTACCTTCCGCTTTTTAACATATTGTATAATCTTTTTAAATTATAATAATAGGTTTCAGCTGAACGCGATCAATTTCATGACAGTTACAACCGCGTTGCAGTTCAAAAAGAGAAGTTAGAAGCGCTGTGCAGGGAACTTCAAAAGCAAAATCACCAGATTCGGGTAAGTGCCACTAGGTTTTAACCATTTTTCTGCCAGGACCAAAGTATGGCCATGGCTCAATCCGAAGACGAGAAGCGAAAAGAGGTGGCAGACCGTTTCCAAAGTGGAATTCAGGAGATTCAAACTCAGTTAAATGATTATCTACAAAAGAACAACAAACTCCGAGAGGAAAATCAGATGTTGGCTGAGAAACTTCAAAAATTCATCGCCGATCATGAAAAACGGGAGGAGTATACACAAAAGGTTTGCTTTGTTTGTTTGGTGGCAATTAAAGTGAAAAAAACACGCTCGTTAATTCGTCGTTTGGACTGTGCTTAGAGTGTAGTGTTGCTTTTTAGAATATCCTGTAGCCTTGATCTGGATGAGGGGATGCTGAGCTAAAAGTAATCGTGAAATGTTGCTTGCGTTCAATCCCGTTTTTCCGTCGTTTCGCGTTTTTTTTTCTAATCTTCGGTTCACTTGGTGGCTAACGCCTCTTCACTGGCCACTAATAGCCACACGCTCTTGTTTATTTTTGGATTCACCTATCTAACACGCACATTTGAGTCTCTTCCACGCGATTTTAGGTTATGAAAACGCGTGAGTTGGAAGCTAAGCTTGCGGAGGCGAAGTTAACTCAGGCCAAAGTGCACCACGAGCAGGAGCTGATGAAGGAGAAGCGCGCGACTGCCCAGGCCCTCGAGGAATGCGAATTAATGAAGCAACGCTTCGATGCGCACAAGATGGTTGAAGCGAAACTCACGGAGCAGGCAAGTTTGTGCCTAGTTTCCTCCCCCACCTCCTCTTCATTCCCATTACTGTTACACCCGCTTGCCTTGTACTTACTTTCAGTGCCTGTTTTGGATTTACCAGTAGACCATTTTTTCGTGATAATCGTTAATTAAATTTAATCACGGTATGACTGATGTCTCTGCTTGCTTACACATAATTTTCTTCCACTCCAATGCCTGTCTCTTTTGCAGAAAAAAAATAAGCAGTGTTCATAAATATTCCTTAATGTGGCTCTCCTTGTAGATCGAATTCTACAAGGCTAAGTACCAATCGTTCAACAAATCTATGGCGAAAAGCAACGACCTCATTGAAAATGCGAAAAAGGAGATGGAGAAGGTGCGTTCGTTTTGTTTTTTTCCGTAAAGAGTATTTTGTGCGTGAGCAGGTGGTCGCTAATGTCGGTGTGCATTGCGGTTTTGGCTATTCTCTTCATTTTTTGCCAATTTTTGACTGGGATTTGCTATAGTTTTGGGGTCAATACAAATCCCAGTACCTCGAGTAGGGTGTTTTGCCCCTAAGACGCATTCAACCTGGTCATTAGTCAGTTTTAAGTAGTCATGGCAGCGACTACCCACGCTTGGGTCTTGGAAGTTTTGGCATTAAAACAGGATAATTTCTCACCTTATTGGTCGAGTAATATTGATCTGTCTCCCTGAACGCAACGTCATTCGCTTACTCGATTCGCCAATTTGTGGGTAAAAAATATCGGCAAGCACATGTTGCTCGAATTGGCTCTCTGACACACGCCTGTAGCCTTCATGCCTAATTCCTTGTGGAGTGCCGGCAAGACTATTGGCTCCATCAGAACACACTCTGCACAAAACAGCAGCTACGCAACGCCAACGACGGTGGCGCACAGCAATGTTTTGCGCGTCACCACCACCAACACTCGCCACCACCAGCACTACCGCCACCACCACCAACACTATCACCATCATCATCATCACCATCTTCATCATCACCACAATAACCACCAACACTATCGCCACCACTAACGCTACCACCACCATCATCACCACCACCAACACTCGCCACCACTAGCACTACCACCACCACCACCAACACTGCCACCATCATCATCACCATCTTCATCATCACCACAATAACCACCAACACTATCGTCATCACCAACACTGCCACCACCATCATTACCACCACCAACACTATCACCAATACTAACGCTACCACCACCATCATCACCATCACCACCGACACTGCCATCATCATCATCATCACCGCCACCATTACCACCGTCATCATCATGATCACCATCTTCATCATCATCACAACCACCACCAACACAGCCACCATCACAACTACCATCATCATCATCGCCACTACCACCACCACGCACACTGTAAGAAGCAAAACATTAGTCGTTTCGATGTCGGATGGTCTGGGACAAGGCTAGTGTCTGCAAAATAACCCCCTCCCCCGAGGTCACGCAGGCATGGTTAGCAGAAGTTCACGGGTAACCCAGGAGCGATGTGATGGGTTGGCAGATGCTGGCGTTCCATTGGCAAGTGTGTACCAATCACGTTGAAGCATGAGCTACGGAGCGAACCAATAGGAATTCGCGTTCCGAGGATATTAGCATACCTAATTCGATTGTCAGTATGTCATGTCAGCGTATAAAAATCGATAGGATAGTTGACGGTTCTAGGTTTCCGAGGGTTAGACGGACTCGGTTAATTGCAAAAATTGACGCGGGATGTTAAAACCAACGCCCGATTGTGCAGCCTCATTTGCGTAGGTGGTGGAAGGTGATAATGCCATATAAACAAGTCGTTTACACTTGGCTCTTCGCTGTGTGTCAAATGTTGACTGACGTGTAAAACCTGTGCAAATGCGCATTGTTTTGGGGCATCTTCAGTGATTCGCAATTTCAGATGGCAAAGCATGTTCGGTCGGCTGAGTCAGCAGCACTTGATTGGCGCAGCAAGTGGGAACTTAGCCAGAAGGCTCTGTTGGAGATGATCGATGAGTGTCGGAAGGAGAAGGAAAAGTCCCAGGCACTGCAAAAGCAAGTTGACAAACTTTCCAACCTCTGTCGCGCACTTCGAGCTGCCAAGGATTCCTCCACAGCCCCTCGTAAAGGTAAACCTCTTGGCTACTTAAATATACTTCAGTAACGGGTATCAGTTCGTTATTTACGTGCATTGTCTTTTGGCAGAGGATGAAAATAACAGTGATGCGGTTACGGAAGCTAAGGCGGAAGCAGAGAACCAGAAAGAGAACGGCGGTTCCTAGGCTAAAATGATGAATGTGCGCCACCCGGAATACCCAGCCAATCGTCTTCCTGTCAGCCGTGATACTTCATATCATCTGTCCATTACTTCCTCCTCCTACTTTTCCTCCTGTATACTCCCTTTAGCACATCCTTTTACACAGACCCTTACTTGGTTTTGTCTTTGTACAAAAACACATTGATACTTAAATGTTAATAGTAAAATAACTTACTCTTAAACCTTCTCCCACGTCTACCCTTGTTAGCACCGGTACCAGTACTGAATGACGATGACTAATAAAATATTTATTAAAATAATACAATTAAATGGGATATAAAGATGGTTGTTGGGTTCCCTGGCACGTGCCACACAGAAGTGAACCACCGCTGTACCCTACTCCCCCCGCACTGGTTTAAACTAAATGCCTAACAGAAAGTGACGTATCGCGTGGACAGGGTGTCAGTCAATTCCCCATCGAGTTGTCCTCAAGGAAGGACTGTTTTCGCCAGAGATGGTTCCTGCCGAGGAGATGGAAGATGTCCCTAACCGGTCGAAAACTGGGACTCCTAGAACTCTCCTTCTCGGACCTCCTCGACAGTGACTTTTTAATTGAGCGGAACAGTCGGCCCCGCCATTTGCTTCGGCGCTCCGAGTCCGTCACGTCGACGCTGTCATCCTCGCGCTCGTTGTTGTCGCCGGGGATAAGGCTGCCGATTGGGAGTTCCAGTTCCGGATAGCGCGGCTCCCGAATCTGACAGTCTCCTGTGAGGTCGCAGTCGGCAAATCTGCGGATGAGGCCCGGTGGAGAGGTGAGAAGCGGTGTTCGCTTTTGCGAGGTTGGGGTCAAGATTGTGGCGTTGTCGGGCTTCAAGGCCGAGTTGCGTTGGGCTGGCAGGTTGCCTGAGACCTTCGTGTCGATGTCTCCGAATTTGCTGATCTCGCAGCCCTCCTTACCAGCCTCCCCGTGGCCTTGGGAGGCTTGTGTGGAACCCTCGGAGTGTTGAGAGGTCACTGGAAAAAGAATCGCCTCTGACATGCTCGCCAGCGACATCCTGCTGTTGGCAAACACCCACTGTGGCCCGTACGAATGGTCAGATCGATTGAAATTGCAGCTGACCTTGGCCATTCGATCACGTGACTGCATTAACGATGTGTGACGCGGGACTTTAACTAATCAGCGTTTGAGAGCAAGTCAAATCTAGCACACAGCCAAGACGTGTTCTGGTTGCATTTTTTTCTTCAAAAACCTCGTAGACTGCTAAAGCTGAACTCTTTTCGTCCGCTCCCCCCAGAAAACGGCATATTACCCTAATGATATCCTAAATACGCCATGTTTACGGTTTTTCACAAATTAGCTTGGCGAAAGCACCAGCCATTTTCGTCAACAGTGGTCAAAACGCGTGGCCAGCACCGGTATGTCCAGTTGGCGTGGTGGTCCAATCGCCTTAGCGTCTCGCACTTGCACGCTTGCCCTATACACTTGTCTGTGATTGGTTGAGGCCCTCTCACGCATGACTCACTCGCACACCCAACTAAGCATCGCCTGCCACCCATCCTACAAGACACTAGAAACTGGGGTCTGCTGATTAAATTAGCGAACGTGCTCCTCTTTTCACTGATCCACCAAACCACCATCATCATCGTTTTAACGAGGAATTTAATTCAATAAATACGTTCAATTGAGAGGCAGTCACCAAGGCAACCCCTCGTCAAAAGAGCCTGATTGGCTACCCTCTAGGTGTACAGAGAGCAAATTAATGAGAAGTGTTGTGTATTTGATTAAAGTCAAATGTCCACTTAACGCCAGTACTCCGAGCCGCTGTCACTACTTTCAACTTCTTCAATGTCATCCTCGTTTTGGAAGTGCTCAATCTTAAGCTCACTGTGTAGAGGCAGATAGGCAAAGTAGGCGGATGTGTTGTTAGCAGACAAACGACTGTCCCAGTTAAGGAGTCCTAGCATTTCGTTGTGCCAGATGGCAGAGTTGACAAACTTCGGTGACAGCGAGGCCGTCTTCCCACCGAAGAGTTGGTTTCTCCCCCCAAGGAGCATCAGAAATCGATCCACAGTGCTCAATTCAAGCCGCTCCAACTCCACGGCGAGAGCTTGGAGGCTGCGCCGCGAGTAGGCCTTGACTGGGTCGATCCCCTGACCTTCCGACTCCCTTGACTCTTTGCGACTTGGGCGTCGCTGCCTGGCTGAGTAGGCGGCGAAGGCAGAATGATTTCTGCCGGTCGACGAGGTCTGGCACCGTGAGACCTGCCTATCGTGGGTGTTGCTGTGGTTACGAAGGGAACGAAAACGTGGTAGATCCCGCACGCTTCTGCTAGTCTCCATTAGATATTGGATGTGCTGCAGGCTTCCTCCACTGTAGTGTCGTGTTCTGAGGCAGGAAGAGCAAATTATAACAACTTCTAGTCATCAGACGGATTGGATATGCCTGAACAGCTAGCTAGTGAGAAGACAGGTTTCAAAAGCCAGCTCCAGAATGCTGTGTCCCTCCAACTTGTTTCTATTCCGCATAACACATAAGCAGACTAGCTATTTATTAGTTCCAACTACAGTTCCTCATTGTGCTGCACTTTACACCTAAGCCTGATAGTGCACCGTGTAGGAACAAACTTACCCATCTTTGCTAACCTGGACGTGAGCTCTTGGGTCGCTGATCCTGCTCAGTTTATTCGAAATGGTGGTCACGCGCTGGTTCATCGCGGTCAGCATGTCTTCAATGGGTTTCAGGGCCTCGTTTTTCACCTCCTGCGCCACTGTATTCTTGAAATCAGTAGCCTTTTTCAACCTTCAATACAAATTCACGCGCGTGTAGGCTACAACACTGCTGTCTGCACTGCTTAAACGACTGTTTTTAAGAAAGCTAACAAGTTTGCGACTGCAGGGATGTCGACTAAAACGTCAAAACCGCCCTTAATTGAGGGCGCGTCTGTTCCTTTCTAAGCCCTGTCACCTGTAACAACCCATCTCCATTAGTTGCGCAAGAACATGAGCACTGGAACACCAATAGGAAGACGTGTATGCCAACGAACAGAGCACACCTAAAATCCGAAACACACCTCAGCACTGCCAATCAGTTCTGATGTGCTTGATCTTGGTAGTTTACAATCGTTCCTGGTTATCTGACGGCGTCACCCAAAGATCAAATATCTAGTTCTGTTTCCGAGTAACCATCTGCACAGGTGTAGTCATGTCTACCAATCACTAATGCGGTGCATACGAGACCTTGTTTGTAGCTTGAAATTAATGACGACACAATGAATAGGTATTCAAGCACCGTGTAACATGTGCCATTTCAAATCAGTTTGGCGCTTTGTCTTACTATACTGGTTCCGTTGGAGCACTATTTGACCTTGACAACAGCGGTTTTTTCGACATATTTGCCATTTACGCCTATTGTTTAGGATCGAACGTTTACGATGTTGAGCATTTTGGAATGTTTGTTGTCATTTTTCAATTTAGTTCAGAAACAGTCATCACTTTCACGAAGTATATTTCAGATGCAAGTCGCACGCCACTGCAATGGGTGGATGGAGTATCGCTATGGTTGCAGCGGATTGACAGCGATCGCGCCTGAGTGAACCCTGGTTACCGACCTGACGGTGACAATGACTCATCCCCTTTCCATTGGTTACTGTTACCAGATTCCTGTCATCCGTCCACTCATCTACACACTAAGACACACATGGCTGGCGTGACGCTAATAAACGGTCGTGTCCTCTGTCGCCTCTCTTCTCTCCATTCTCGGGTTGTTACGGGCTGTTAA